CTGCAGGTCCTCTCTGAGCTGCAGGTCCTTACTGAGCTGCAGGTCCTCTCTGAGCTGCAGGTCCTCTGAGCTGCAGGTCCTCTGAGCTGCAGGTCCTCTGAGCTGCAGGTCCTCTCTGAGCTGCAGGTCCTCTCTGAGCTGCAGGTCCTTACTGAGCTGCAGGTCCTCTCTGAGCTGCAGGTCCTCTGAGCTGCAGGTCCTCTGAGCTGCAGGTCCTCTCTGAGCTGCAGGTCCTCTGAGCTGCAGGTCCTCTCTGAGCTGCAGGTCCTCTGAGCTGCAGGTCCTCTGAGCTGCAGGTCCTCTGAGCTGCAGGTCCTCTCTGAGCTCAGACCACAGAACACTTGTTTTTATCTTCAACATTAAAGGGCAACTTCTTCTTCTGTGGTTTTTAGGGAAAGTTTCCATCTGTGCACGTCAGCCTGGAGCATGGAAACACTCGTCAGATTAACTCACTTTGTGCTGATAGGAACAAAACCTGGATTATTTAATCTGAACACATTTCAATCTGATCCGAACATGTGGACAAATCCTGAAAGTTAGATGAAAAATAAAAGAATTAAAGAATAAATCTGATAATTGAAGGTAGAAAAAGAAAAAAGGAAATGAATTTTCAACAAAAGAAAGGATATGAAAAATAAAAACTGTTAAAGAGAAACAAGAGAGCAGAAAAGAATCACTGAAGGAATAAAGGAGAGGAAATTAAAGAAGGAAAAGCTGAAGAGTCACAAGATGAAAAAGATAAAATGAGGAAAAACAGATGTAAAACAATAAATGAATTAAACAGCAAAACTAAATTGTACAAGAAAAGATTTGAAGAGAATGTGAGTCGAGGAGACAGAAAATGTTAGAGAAGAACAAGAAGCTGACAGAGGAACCTGAGTGGGTGGATGTGAGGAAAGAACTGATAAAAAAGGTTCAATCAGGTGAAAACAAAGAAAAAATAAATCCTGTAGAAAGGCTTTCAAACATCAGGAAATAAAGACAAGGCTCCTCAGACACACAGGAGGATGGAGGAGAAACAGACTGTTGCTATGGAAAACCTGGTTACCATGACGCTGAAGGTGATGATGTCATACCCATAATGCACCTGTGTGCAGGATGGTTGTTACCTGTCACATGTGTGAAAAAATGATTTTATTATAGTTTGATTCACATCTGAGCTGAAGGTTCTGAGCCAATCAGAGGCTCTCTGTGTGTGTGTGTGTGTGTGTGTGTGTGTGTGTGTGTGTGTGTGTG